TCTACACTAACTAAACAAACCAAAATGAAAACAAAAGGAAACGTACAACACCTCTTTCCCCATCCCAAAAACCACACACCACTCCACTATCTCCGCTCCCCATATCCGATCTCCCAGGGCCCCCTTGTCTTCCCCTTTTAAATGCTCCCACCATCTACTTAATTAATTAATTGGCAACACCTGGAAAAAGAGGAGACAGCAATTAGAGAGGAAAAAAAACACTCCAACCAAAGGTATCACAATGGTATGATATTAAAACCAACAGGCTCCAGTTAAAGGAATAAAAGTACCATGTATTCCAACCACAGGTTAAAAGGGATATTTGAAAGGGCAAGAGAGGCATCTAAATGCTTGTTTGAATTGAGGCTCAAATAAGGTATTTCTGTGACACACCTTCAGAAGAATCAAAATAAAGTGTATATAGAAAAAATGGTAAACTTCTAGACAATGAAAGGGAAATGCTGATGTATTGAATTACTCTGGTACTGTATTTACCTAAGGGAAGTCAGGCAGAGGAAGGACAATGTTCTGTATTCAATAGAAGAAGGAGAAGCACCCAATATTAATAAATTGCCAGGGCTTGATGGTATTTTACTTATTGTAATCAAGGAAATGAGAGTTATCCAGAAGCCATTGATGGAACCAACAGTTGCTCAAGACAAGGGTAGTACCCAGGGACTGGAGAACGGCTAATATAGTTTCCATTCATAAAAAGGTATGAGCAATTGAACGAAGTAATTACAGACCAATAAATCAGATTACATGTAAGGTTACATGTTAGGTAAGGAACCAATTGTAAGAACTAAACTAGAGGATCAACTATATGAGAGTAATATCCAAGGAAAAAATCAGTATGGATTTGGAAAAGGCAGCCATTTTGTTAATTTGAGCAAGCAATAACCGTAATGGACATACATGGAGCATATGATATTTTTATTTTAAGAAGTGTTTTGATAAACTTCCCCGTAGAAGATTAATTCTCAAATTGTAGGTGTTAGGTATTCGGAGCATATAGAGTGTGTGAGCTGAGAATTGGTTATTAAATACCAAGTCGAGGGTATAAATAAGGGATGGGTACTCAGATTGGGATGGTGTAATTAGTGGAGTACCACAGGGACCTGTACAAGGACCACTGCTGATCTTAATTCATTTCAACAATCTATATTCCAGAATAATTATCTAAGCAGGTTTGCAGATTATACAAAATTAGGAACAACAGCAAACACTGTAGAAGTAGCAGATGAAATTCAAGAAGAACTGATTAAATTTACGACTGTCAGGTGACCTTTAATGTAGGTTTGTGTAAGGATACCGCATGTACTGTAGGTCCTAAAACTGTAACATGAATACAAAATGAGAAACAATGAATGAAACGTGGCTCCTGATGAAAGGTACTTAAGTGTTTATGTCTTGGAAATGTAAATGTTGCATCAGCAATGTGGGGAAGCAATTTAAAAAGGCAAACAAAATGTTAGGATATATAGTTTAAAAAGCCTAATTTAAATCAAGGGATTTTACCATGTTAAAAACTACCCAGCCATGTTGCTGAAGCCAATACCCTGTTTTTTATTCTAAGAACAACTGTGTGAGATCCCCAAATTAATTAACTACTGAACTACCAAAAAGGCTAGATGGATCTAATGTAACCTTTCCTATGTTCTCATACAAAAGACTAATAACAATTTGGTCTGTTTTTTGCTCAGTTCTAATACAGAATTATAGATCATTAAAACCTACTTTAAATGTTTCAGAAATTATTGTGAACTGTCTGCAGGGTTTTTGTGGATTTTTCTGTTGCTTTGAGCAGTATATCCATCCCAGCTATTAGATCCCTTTTGGACCCAGTGCAGCATTTTAGATTGGTTGTTTGTTGCCTTGGAAAAGTGTGATGCCTCATGCTCATCACGTTAACCCAGTTCTCTTGGGTTCATATCAGCACATGGCTCCATGTGACCGAGCTTATTATTGTCTGGAACAATAAATCAGGCCTGCTTGGTTTGTATTTTTTTGTACTCTAAAAGTCTATTGGTTGATTTAAAAATTAAAACATGAACGAGCACCATCTACTGGAGTGCTAGTCCACAAACTGAATTGTGCTTATAATACAGAGCACGAATTACATCCACACAATGGTTTTGGTATTCTGAAAGGCGAATATTTTTACATAGAAGTCGCATCAGAGTAATATTTTACATGAATAAGTAGCCACAAGCCAGAAACCAGTCCACAATCTATAGTAACGTCGCCGAGACCCTGTTATCTGCTTTCATCCTGCGTGGCCCAAGGGATAATAAAATGAAAATGAGCATTTTTCTTTACAGTTATCCCGTTTTCAAAACAGGGATACAATAATTATGACGGTTATCTACAATTGTCTTTCCCTCATTTAAATTGTAGTCGAAATTCCTGCCTCAAGCCCATTATATGTTTTCCTACAGTTTATAGGCGATTTCACAGGTTGCTGCAAATGTACGCTAACCGTTTGCGACGATACAAACGGCTGTTTTCATCTCGTCAAACTTGTGGGGAGCTGTCCAAGTGCTGAACACATTACGAACAGCGCTCCTCACATGACCACAAAAAGAGCGTCTGAATATTTATTACAGCCATGGTCAAAGGCTGTTTTATTGTGTATGTGTCAGTGCAAACTCTTTTTTAAAAAAACCCTTAAGGCTGCTGTGCAGTCCAAATTAGTTTATTTAATATTTAATTGCATTCAACGCTTCAATTAATTGTCTACAAACTCAGTACTACAATTATTTAGTCGAAAGCATGTCATGATACACAACTGCTACTTTTGAGAGAAATAGAAATGCCGTTAGTAACTTGATCTAAGTCATTGTTCTAATAAACGGGAATGTTTGGTTTAGCATCTTAATCTTAGTCACGAACTTTCGATGTTGCAGATTGGGGGTCTGGTGGTTTACCAAAATCGTATTTTCGTTCATTTCCCTTTCAGTATTTTTGCATTTTCTGTGTATTGAAATATTTTAAATATATAATAATAATTAAAACTGAACCAGATGTGTGGGAGGGATCTCCTTAACTTAATTATTATTCTTAGAATTACGTTGAGCATTTTATGGTTTGTCATTTATCTGCTGCATTATAATCCCTTCAACAACAATAAAACATAATCTTACCTGACTTCCAGTGCACGAATCATATTCGTTCTTTGTTTATAACAATTATGTTTGCTGAGTGTCAGAAAAATCTATGCTGAAAGACTAGAGATCACTGTTTTTGTAAGAAACGCCGCCAAGCCTGGGTTAAGTGAATCTCTAGTGCCATCCTGCGGACATTTTTACAGTCTCTGTGTCTTACGGCAAGACGCACAATTTCTAACTGGTACACTCATCCCAGATGAAAAAGCAACAGTCTGTATTAAATATCTTGTCCCAGCATTAATGTCTGAAGCCTGTAAAGAATTCAACCTATTTTCCTGGGAGAAATTTCACATTATCCAAATTAACACATCAAAAGTTTATTGATATCATGACGAATTTGGTCTACAATATTTTTTTCTCATCCGTGGCACAGCTTCAAATCATTATTTGATCATAATAGTTTTGTTGGTGTTCTGTTGTTAGGATCGTCTTCGTGATGACCAAACACTTTGGTGTCTGAACCTTCCGTCCTTCCTCTCACAAATAAATGAGACGTGTTGACTACGTACTGTGTTACTCACAGGGTCAAACTTCCCAAGTCCATCTTCGTGATCGGGATTCATAATCGAGGTACAAAGCCCCAAAGGCAATCAAACACCTGCAAAAAAAAGTCACGTTATCACCGAATAGCGACACAGCTTTCCGTGATTTTAGCAGACAAAGCGGATCTGTTCGATATTGGAAGAACCCCTTTCAGCACCAGAGGAGGTGTTGGTGTGACTCATGCGTGCGTAGTAACGGATAAATAGGCGATTCACGCTTTAAAACAGCAAATCAAACGTACTTCAGCAAAAAAGGTCATAGTGAATGGAATTTTTGCAGTCTATTGATATTCAGACGTCGTTTTCCTTGGAGTGTTATAAACGCCCTTAACGTTGCATGGCTATAAGGCTGTAATTTGGTTGTTTTGAGAGAGTTTCTTGGACTCTGCTACCTGTGTACCTGCCTGGACGCAGAAAAAGGTAAGATACAGCTTTAAGATTATCTGTTATCCCATCACATTTAATGAGTCTGAGAATACTCTTTTAAAAAGTATCATATCTATGATTTACGACTCTTGCATGATTAAAAGCTCTGTGGGAAATAAGCATCCATCACATAATGCTAAATCAACTGCTCATTATAGATTTGTGAAACGGGAGTAAAAAATCTAATAACGGACAAATAGTCACCAGCACCTAGACAGACATTAAGTAGTCTAAGATCTTAATTAGTATAACACATTAAATTACTGGAGTATTAAGACAAGTCTGGAACAAAATTCGTAAACTCTGAGGTGCATTATTTATTTGTTTTGGGGTAAGCAATGAATAATAATTTGTCATGCTGTGGTAATTATTGACAGAATTGAATCGTAATCATACATAAACGTGCTATTTTCCCCATATCTTTATGAAGTCTGCATTTCTGGACAGCATTAACCACGACATAAATTAACTCATTCTTCATTTGTGTTGCGCAGAAACAATTTTCCTCTGATCTATCGAACCAAATAATAATAATAATAAGCCAATGTATGCTCGATGAATAAATAAGTAATTCGAAGATTGCGGAAAGTTTAAAAAAACTTAACCTTAATATATGGCATTTTTTCAGATTTATCAAGAACAGTGCTATAAAAGGTTAGATTTGACTTGCATTTAGCATATTGCTATAATTAAGATTGATTTTACAGTCTGCTACACCAGCTCCATTATCTACAGACAGGACGTACAGTAATTTAAAAGAAGGCAGGGGTATTTATATTATTCTGTCTCGCCGAAATACACCTACTGATATCATGGCTGTACTGGGGAGTATTCGTTGATCAAATATGCAACCAGGGCATTCTGGTTGGGATTCCACGTAATGAGTCTGAACATCAACATTTATAGAGGCTGTTAAAGCAACATTTCAGTATGCATCTCACTGTTTTGCTCAGCCTTGGAAGGTGAACTATGTGGGGTTAGACGCGAAGACTACACAGCAGTCTAGTTGGTCACGTCAGAACCACCTGAGTTTCTATTAGGTGGAAATAAATGAGCCCGTTTCAGTGAAGTATGACCACGACTGCTGAGGAGTTATGCGTTTTTTTTATTATTTTCCGTCGGACTAGCTGCAATGCAAACCGTTTGAAACTAACAGCATATAAATTCAGCGTTTTGTTTCATGTTACATTAATGTAGACAATCGTAGTAATAGATATTCTATGTAATCGTCTATATTCCTGTGCTTTGTTCCAGCGGTTTTAAAAATGCCCTGTCCTCTCCTTGCAGTTAACCGCAACTTTTCATCTTGGTGAATTAAGACAGGTTTCGGAGAAAGTGACAGCACGTACTGGAGCCAGGACTTTTGTATCTGAGGACTGATGGCGTCGTCTGCACCTTCTTCCTCTGGCGGCGCTCCGGATCCCAACTCGACTAATTTACGACCGCCATCCACAAGTAGGTCTATCGCAGATAAAACGCTATTTCACGTGTGCTATTTACTCCCTAGTCAGTGTCATTAATCACGGACCGAAAATAAAAAGAGCCAAATTCGAAATCCCTCCTATCTGACAAATCGCGACACCAGAGCGAATAGAGAGCAGACTCGACACTAACTCTGGTCTCAGAACAGAAGATGTGCTAATGCAACTAAAAGCCAAAAAATAAACATGGAAAATTCTAGAACAGAATGAAAAGTGAAGTGAAAATCCAGTCATCCGACCAAACTGTCAAACCAGAATTGTTAGTCTAGAAATATTGTAGCCTGTATGTGCTACAAACAGATGTAGGTTGAATTGGACGCATGTTCAGAATTGTTTCCTTTTTTTTCGGGGCTATAAATTTGGGAGAAATTGCTAGTGGGTCTTGATTTATGTTATTTCCATCATGATTTCAATTCTCTCCATCATTTCTGTTCTTGTTGTGCAGTTTTGTATATGTGAACGCACACGGTCCGGAAATAAAATTAATATTTTTAGTAAGTATTCTCTTGCCCTTTTTCTGCTCTTTGCTTGGTATCTTAAAACATTTGAGTGAGTGGTTCAAAGTGTAATTATGTGAAAAGTGGCGCTAATTATAGCCGCACTGAATTGCCCCTAATGGCTCCGGGTTTGCGCTGAGTTATTGAAGTGTCACTGGAATGGAGCGGATGCAGAAGATAGTAATAAACGGCTAACAGTTCTGCCTCAACAATTTTCACAATCAGCTACAGCAAAGGGGGGAAAAAAAGATTCGATGACATAATTACCTCACACAATGGCAGAATAAAAGAGACGGTCCGCATCAGCTTGATAAATGCTGCCTTTCTAGACGGAAAAAAAAATCGAAGCAAAAATCTCCCTGTTTCTTCCTAATAGGAAAAAGACGAAAGTGTGTCACGTCTACATATCGTTATAGACCTGTCTAGAGAGTGCTTTCTGAGCTTCAATCCAAAAATATAAGTCTACAAAACACATCTATTTAAAATACAGAATATAATGATACCGAGAAAGGGGCTCGTTTAAGGATTTAGTTGATGCATCAAATCGGGTGTAAATTAATATTTTGTTTTTATTCCGTTTGTTTACCCTCTTAAAATGAAGACTCTGTGGTTTTGTGTGTGTGTGTGCGTGTTTCTGTCTGCTGCCTCTCGTAGTCTGTCATTATCTTACTTTATCACGCTTTATCGCTGACCTGAGGCTGGCCAGGGGATCGCATTGTCGCCACCCAGCCTTTTGCTAGGGACTGCAAAGCAAGAACACGAACACAAGCTGAAAGGTAGACACAGGCATTACCGCTGTTCCATTCTAGGCGCAATAATGTACCGTATGAGGACGCTGATATTAAAATAAATCGACACAACAACATTATAGACACAAAGTGGAATATTTTAGCTAAGTTTAGAACCATATACCATTCAACGAAATATTGCTGTGGTTAGTAATTACTAATTACAGTCGCCATCGCAATTAAGCGTTACGTGATCAAATTAAGTCTATTATGTATTTTTTTTCCCAGATTTCCATGATTTCGCGCCTTTGTATATCGTTTGAGAATTTATTTCTGCCTCATGTTTGTGTTATGGCTTTATCGCAATGTGAATGGTGCTTGCTGGCACGCATTCTCTTTATACAATTTTTAAAAATGCCATTAAAACCAGATATTTTATTTTCGGTTTTAGTGATGTGATATTGATTTATTTAAATATCCATATCACATATACCAAAGCGAAACAGAAAAAAAAACGTTAAGTGAACGCCATGTGCTTGTGTCCATCAGGAGACGACATATTCATAAGTTAATATTCTTGTTAATAGCACTATATAAATGGAATAGCGTCACTTTAGGAAGAAAATGTTTAACGCACTATTGTGTTTTTGGATCAGCCTCATCTCTGGCTGGCCGACGGCTAGTCATGCAAGCCCGATCTAGTCAAATACTATTTTTCACCCAATTAATTCCTGAACTCTTCCCCGACCCCATTTCATGCCAGTTTATTTTAAACTGCAGGATGTGTGCCAACGTTTATTAGGTGTCGAGGAAATTTAACTATCAAGGAAGCCACAAGAGAGAGTTCTCACCTGAGTAAGGTCTTTATTTCAATATTGCAATATTGGGAGCCCTGCTGCAACCAGAGACTCAATTTGTTACAAGCAGTACAGGGTTTTTATAAGACGTTGCGCTATAAAAAAGCTCAGCGCTTTGTCCCTTCTAAAACTTCCCCTTTCCCTAAGACAAAACAGATTACATCATAGAGCGATAGAAGAAGCACTAGGTTTGTTATTCAAAGCTTATCAGTTACTTTCAGCTAATTCTAACAACCCAGACAGCATACATTGTTTTGGTACATTGTCTTCTAAAGTAACCTAAACAGTGTACTTTGTTGACGCACTGTTTTCTAACATTCTGCACGTACTGTAGCACAGCAATTACATCCTTGAAATATATTATCTAAAAGCACCAATATATTTTTTGCAAAGCTCTCTACATTTTAAGAATCAATTTACTTATTAGATTTCTACTTCATAGGCATTCAAGTTTCAGACGGCTTTTATTGATGGCCCGATGAGACCAGAACCTTTAAAAATCGTGCGAAAATACACCCCGCACACTCGGCTAATTCGTTCTTTCAGTCAGCTGCAACATATCTTTCACAAGACAAGAACCTTCTTTATATTTTAAATAAATGAAACTGTATGACTTGGACATTCAGTAGCTTTCTTTTCCAAAATGTTCTGTTTTAGCGTATGATACGTGGTGTGGTGTTGCTCACGGATGCACAAGAAAACTTGGAATGAAGATTTGTGGTAAGTTTGTTTTTGACAATATTTGACAATATTCTTTAACATTGCTTTCAGATAATTATCTATTCTGCATAATAAAATGTCGAAAAAAGAACGTTTACCATTGTAAACGAGTAAGCCAGAAACACGTTGTACATGTATGTATCATCCAGATCATCTTATGTGAAACTGATAATTACTTATTGATGTTTTCCAAATCATATTATCAAAATAACAATGCAATATAACGGAGCTTCAGAGGAAATGCGTGGTTCAATGGACCTGGCACTGGTTGTAAAGGAACTGCGTAGCCTTAAGCAAATTGTAAGTGTTCTGAGAAGCAAATGCTTTGGGTTTTTTTTAGAGGTGGTATTTTGGCATAGTATAGATTTTGAAGGATTTTAATGGGGGTTATTAATGATACATCACATTGTTTCAAACATAGATCTGCATTTTCGCCATGTAAGTATTTTGTAAACCTTTTAACGGTGAGAAGGACATTTTGTTTGCGCCGATATCTCTGGGCCCACTTAGTGTTTCAATTGAAAGCGTATTGTTGGCGGAATTTTATTGTATGCTCCCATTAGGGAAAAAAAGAGTTAAAAATGTATCAGAACCCTCGGAGTTCATTAAAGTATTTGACCATTTGCAGTTATGTCTCGCACAGCCACAGTGGCAGTGATGTTGAAGAATGACATTTTAAAAGATCATTACTCTGTTCAATTGAGTCGATTTTTGGTGGTTGAATACCAGCGTTTTGTTTATGTGCTATGCCCAAGTGCAATCTTTCGATATGTGCAGCCTGTTATAAGAAAATATGGATGAACTGAATACCGAAGGAGATGCTAATTAAACACACAGTTAGACTCCTGACTGATTACCATTTTCAATACCACGAAAACAATGAAGGAGAAGTTACTTGAGCGAGCATAATAGTACTGCAGTGTCTTCCCTTTGCTGTGAAGCATTGGATGACGGATAGTCCAAAATCAAATAATCGTTTGCAGGCTTTCAAATCAGATAATTTTCTTTTCAGAGAAGCCTATACATTTTATGGCGCTACTCTCATAGCCGGATCCCTCGGACTAACAGCACCAATTAAGTAGAACAGAGCGCCAGGGAGTCTCAAAGTCACATGACTGTGACCAACCCAAGGAGATATACACCACCCCACCCTCGGTCTGTAATATTATTAGCTGTCTAGTTAGTCCTCTAACACCGTTTTTTTCTCCGGTTTTATAACACTTATGTATCACACGAAGAGTTCATGGAATGGAATGTTTCGTAGAATAACGTAATACAATATAATAACTATTCTGTTAACGATTGCCAGTCGTTAAAGAATGTTGAACGTTCGTAAGGTTATAATTAATTCATTCTGAATGCTTGTGCTTCATGTCAAATTAAACTGAAAACTCCCTCCTCCTTCCTTGGGCATATAGACTTTCGGCATCTCCGACATCTCTCCCAGTGCTGGGTTATCATTATCCCAGATATCACAATATAATGTTTTTTATACTCATAAAAGTTTTAGTATAAAGCTAACTTTGCTGTCGTTTTCGTAATAATTGAATTTATGGCGATTTGTTTTTTTTTGTTCTAGAGAAGCGATAAGTAGGTGAGTTGCAGATACTTGTCAGAAAATTCACTCGACGTTTTCAATTGCTCACGGTCACTGCGCCACCTGGTGGCGAAACGGACACGACTTTAGGCTAATGGAATTTCCGTCACCTGCCGGATTGATTGATGACATGCAAAATTTGATAGTTGGGACTGTGTTGTCTGCTCGCTTGTTAAATGATGCACTGTTTTCCGAGGCACAGATGTTTTAAAAAATATTTTAGAAAGAAATCCCTAAATATACATTTTAGACTACATATTATGGAAAATACATGAATTTGTGTTACATGTAACACAAGAATTTTAAATGTATTTTTTGTTATGTATTTGGCTGACGAAAAAGCATTTCTAGAGAAACGCAAAAACCTCTTGCTAGTTTAATTTATAGCCGCCATTACAATCCCACACGCCTATGTGAAATCGTTTTGCTTTCAGGGTTCAGCAGACACTGCGTAGGACCGAGCAAACAGAAAAATCCATATTGTAGCCAGAAATAAAATAATGCTTTCTGGTATATCATGGATTTGCAGCTTAGAATTCATCAGCCCTTATCGGCCAGAAAACGCTTCTCTCTAAAAAAAAAAAGATTAACGAGAAACTTATTAAATGGTAATTCGTCAGGGTCCTGTTTTTCTGAGATAGCAGTGCCAGTCTTCCGCACACATCGCAGAAGTGGAAAAACTAAGGAAATTTATTTATAATCAGATGAGAGTCCGGTTTGTATACCGCGCTGCGCAAACACTGATCACATTGGTCATTGGGCTAGTTATACTAATGTGAATAATTTCAAACCGTCGAAATTAGTTATTTTTTAGTTAGAATGATTTTTGATCAATTATACATACACAGTTTCGTAATTAAATAACATAGTATTAAATATGTAATTGAATTGGATATTGTGGCACCTTATAACTTTAAGTGTAGCATTTTGAGCTGGAATTAGTGAAATGTGGGGTACCCAAGTCACGACTAAACCGGACTGTTACCAAAAGAGAATTGTTTAATTTTCGCAATTTAGTTTTTCATTGTTCACTTCAAACAAACAAACAAACAAACAAACATACACATTTTCTCCCACGACTTTAGCCTGCCTATTATATTGAATATTTAGACTAAAACTGCATTAAGGATTTTTGCTATCCAAATCCTCTGAAATAAATGACACGGATTTAATGATCCATTTGGTGCCCCTCTCAGTGATGTCCACAGAGACGTGGCTTTTGTAATAGAAATCCTTACTTTCATTTTCCTCCCTGAATAGATACAGTAACGGTTGGTTGAATTAGCTCTTTGTTCTCAGTCTTTGGGCATGACAACACATTAAGAGGTGCCTCTGAACGTTTTCGGCGTATCATGATAGCCAGAGACCGGGTGGACTTAAAGTGAGGGTGTAATCTCTACATTAAAAAATAAGTTCGATCTACCCTTTAAAAGATCTAATTTCTATCAGAAAGCAAACAGCATATTGATGCTGTGTAGACTTCAAGTTCCATATGCCTTGTGTTGCTATCATTTACGATACAAGGTGTATGTGGAATTTAAAACTAAACCGCCCATATTTAACACATGATCATTTTTGTTAAATTAACATTCGCATTAACATGACATTTGTATGGTGTTAATTGTATGCTAATATGATGTTCATATGTAGTAAAAAAAATAACGTTGTTTATTTACATATTTCTAACTACGGTTAGGACTTCCTAGCTCTTCCAAAACTAACATGCAATTTGCACATTATCATTCTATCTGAAGATGAAGAATGAGAGAGGATTTTGAGTGGCTTTTTGTGATGTACTTTTCTGTGCAATATTAGTATGAGGAGATTAAATGAAATGGCTCACGATGCGATCATACATCATTGCCCTTCTTCGCTCAGTCTATAAACTCTGCCTGCAGGCTCGACTTCCATTGACTCATTTTAGTTCCTACCAAAAGGCTGCTTATCGAAGTGGAATCTGTCCGATGGACTTAATAAGAATTTACCGCTGCACAAAATGACGAATATTTATTTTTGCATGGCTGGTTTTTGAGGCTGATGTCACTGGGTTCAACCTCCTACAGGCAAACCGTCTCCATAAATACACTTTCCCTCAACAACATTGGTGGGGGGGATCTCCGAACGAAATAACTGTTGTGTCCGTGCAAAAGGTGTGGTGGAAAGCGTTGTTTGCACCCTGTTTAAAGAAACAACAAAAAGCGTTAGAAACAATGTTGGGCAGTTCTAACAGGTCGTCTCACCCTGCTTCTACCCCATGTAACAACCTAGGGTTTTTGCAGAGGAACAACAGTCTGGAGGATAAGAGCCGTATTGTGAGCTCACTGAAGGAACGCCAGTCTTCCAAGAATCTCTTTAGTTGCGAGAACACTGACAAGGACTCGAGGTTTAGACGCGCTGAGACTGACTTTTCGAATCTCTTCGCAAGAGGTTAGTGTGCCGACTTTGTTTTTAAAGTAAGCAATTGTCGATAGTCTCAGACCCAGTTTGAGGAAATTATTTCTGCTCGTCCGTTTAAATTACTTTCAGTATATGATGCAGCGGAAATAAAGAAAACAATTATTTTATTATGGTTTTTTTTTATCATTTGTTTCTGTTGAACAAGACCATCTTCTGTATCATTAGTAAGCCATGTGAATCTCCAGCCAGCCATAACATTAGTGAAGGTCTGTTTTTATGGTTATTATTCAGGGGTCTCTGATCTTTTATGTTTAAAGGTTTTAATTTGCAAGCTAACATAAAGCGACTTTAATGTGGACACAGCAAAATTGTTTTTGCTGCTTTATTTTCTCGTGGCTCCCTGCCAGCTCTTTAAGAAAGCCTGTTGGAACTCAGGCAGCTGGGAGAAGTAATTTTCTCACTTTGTAAATTGTATAAACGTTAGCTCTTTTGGTGAAGTTATCGAATATTTCCATTACATTGGTGGCGATATCCGATCGCACCAAGCATTTTCAAAATTGAATAAATTCATTTTAAAACTCATTAGAATACCATAAGTGGCCATTCAGTTCAAATTTAATGTCATTCTGTAATATTGGTTCATGAGGATATTTAAAAGACACTGAGAAACTAAGATGATACGCGACAAATGCGTGTCAGACTATGCTTGTGTATCCTACCTGTACATGTAATTCTACAAGAGAGGACGGGGGGTTACAGGTCATATCGTTGCAAAAGTGATTGCAAACTCCCACACAAGATCTATTTCGAGTTTTTTTAAAAACAATTTTCGAGTTCTTTTAAGAATATTCGTTTTTTTTCCATTCTTATTGTTGTTTAATTTGTTGTGGTACGAAAGTCGTGCTGGTTCTTTGGCGTACAGTACCTCCGGCGCACATGCTAGCGTTGATGATTTAAATCCTGGGTTCCCCTGTTTTTCTCCTGCAGATTTGTTACCAGCCAAAAATGGAGAAGAACCGACCATGCAGTTTTTGTTGGAGGTGGTTGACATTCTCTTGAACTATGTCAGGAAGACCTTCGAGAGATCCACAAAAGTCCTGGATTTCCACCATCCCCACCAGCTGTTAGAGGGAATGGAGGGCTTCAACCTGGAGCTTTCTGAACAGCCCGAGTCCCTGGAGCAGATTCTGGTGGACTGCAGAGACACACTGAAATATGGCGTAAGAACAGGTACTGTGGACGCAATCTCCTTAACACATTCACTTAACTAAGTGACAAATGAGCAGCCCTGTAATAACTCCACCTTTCGAAGTTAATGCTTTCCATAATCCGTCTGTATTAGAAGGAAATATGTTCAGATGTATAAGAAAAGTCGGTAAGCTATTTTAAGTATAGCATTGCTTCTAAAGTGTATCAATACCACACTGAATCCCATAATCTGTCGCTAATTATCATAATTAATTTATAATTAACACTTCCTTGCCTTCTATAAAGCACCTTTCATTCCGAAGGGATCCCAAAGTGACGTATGGCTGGGATCGAAAGCTTAATTGTGTGCTGATCCATTTCTAAAGATATCAATATTAATTTAATGTAGACAGCCCAATTATAAAAAAAATATGTTCTAAGTCTTTCGATTAAAAAAAAAGAATACTCGATTTCACATCATTCCCACAGCATAGTAATGTAAAAGCAAAAACGCGGAGGGATTAAAGAGTTTGTCAGGGCTAAAAAGCAGTCCAGTTATTCGGAAAGTAATAAGCCGTTTAGCCCCAACCCATTTTTAAACGACAGACAAGAAATACCTAATTACTTCTAGCGAGCTCACATTACTTATGACACAGACGAGCTATTGTCATTGACCAGAAAGAAAAGAGTAAAAGGTTGTAGAAAGGCATTCAAGGAATTTTCTTCCCCTTTTTTGTTACCGAGATAGTAAACACGTGTAAAATCTAATGTTTATAGTCTACCCTAACAAAACGCGATTTGGGCAAAATGGAACGACGATTAAAATATTGTGTTATGCTTAATCAGCATAGTTTACTACGTTACCTGATTTTCTTAGTCACCTTCTGATCCTATCCACATACTGTATAATATGTTGGCTGTACATACATAACATATAGGTTTTTTTTTCAATAGCTTTTTGGTAATGTTGCAGTTTTGAGCTAAAGCTCTCTGATAATCGCTTCTATTTCATTGTATCTGGCTATTTATCTCCTGTTGTATCGCCTCTACGAATCTGGGATACAAATTTATGGTTTGGGTGGAACACTAGATATGAGTTAGTGAGCAAAACAATAATTGTATTTCTTCAAAATTCTTAACGTTAACGCTACAAAGCGAAAAGCAGGACCGTTTTTTTTTTCAATATGCAGATAATATGACGGTGTGAAAGCAGAGTATTCTAACTACACGTCACTCTGCTGTGTTTTAGAGATCGCTGGTGGTTGATCTGGTATCTGTCCGTGGTGCTGAAATTACGTGCTGCGCAAGACCAAAAGCATTAGGACGCAGTCGGATCTAAGTCATCTGATCGGTTTACCTATTCGAAGGAGAATTGTACTTTAAAAACGTAACTAGATGCTTTGTCGTTCCAGTTTAATGTGTCAGTCTAATGTATGTGTATTTCTTCGTGCTGTAAAAAAAGCTACCACAAACAGTGTTGGTCGAAGGCTCGAAAGAAGAAACGTTCAAACATTTTCTATTAGTTTGAATATAATTATTTCAATTGCAGATAAGTAAAGTGATTTGTATATTTCTGAATTATTATTCTTCTAGGTGTCCCTTAATATTTTCCATAACATTGCGCTCTCAGATTTATATTACCAAGGCAATAGCATAGACCTGAAATATGACTGCAGCTTTCGTGAAGCTCCCAGAAACCGAGGAAATACTGATTTCACTTTTTTAAGGGGGGTGGTTGTGAGTCCGTGTCAATGCACAAACATAGTAAACGTATTTTCATCAAAAACCAAAGGTGCACATACAGAACACCCATATGACTTAACTAAAAGACTGAATTATCTTGAATGCACGTATGATCTGTGTAAATTTGGTCTTGAGTAAAATATAACCATCGTCTAGACACATTTAAGCGATGTTCTAAAAATAACATTCAGTATTCACTCAAAAGCAGTCTGAGATTATGTGGAATGATTTAAAGCACCAAGCAAGAAAAGCAGCTCCTTTCTAGAAAATTGAAATAATAAAATTGTGGAATTGTGGTGAATTAATTTCATATACAGAAAAAAGCTTCTAACCCAACTCATGTATAATCATAGAAAAAAGTGATCTCCCTGTAATATTTGGTAGTCTGTTGTTCAACCACATTATAACCTACTAGTTACTGAACCATTTCAACCTGCTATGCTGATTTATCTCAGGAGCTGTTACAATTAAGATGCTAATACCTAAAAGCAGTGAGAATATGAGAGAAGGGAGGTAATTAGGCACACTTTGTTAGCCTCCAGACTAGAGAGCCATTATCAAGCCAGCCAAAGAATTTTGTGAAAGGACACTGTTCCTAAAACATAAGAAAACCTTATATAATCCTGTTTCTTTTAGGTCATCCTAGGTTTTTCAATCAACTTTCCAGTGGACTGGATATAATTGGGCTAGCTGGAGAATGGCTTACCTCAACTGCCAACACTAATATGTAAGTTATTTCAATATTCGCTTGTTGTGTGTGGAACAGTGAGGGATAAAAAGATGTCTTGTTTCTTGCATTGTGTTGTGCTATCATTTAAACAATGGAAAATGCATTAGCGTTTGTACCATCCTAAGAGTGTTTCACAGTTCAGATATCTTTTTAAAAAGCTCAGGAATGCTGCAAAACTAGGGCCTACAGCCGTTTATCTACCTTCAGATTACACGATACACCCTTTTAGGGAATTAAATGGGGACAGACAATGAAAGCTCTTTTACAGTATGGTATGTGATTCTAAAGTGATGTCACTCAAGTGGCCCCATAAGTAGAAAGAAGGCAGTAAAGAAGAACCTGCTTTGTTGTTTGTTTGACACTGTGGCTTAAATATACTGTAATTCTCATCTGAGTTAGGTGAAGTCATGTACTTCAGTAATATTGGTGGTGCATAATACAAGTGGAATGGAAATTTCAAATGTCTTAATTTCTCTGACATATTCTGTTTACTGGGAAATTCTAAAAACATTTGGCACATTTGAATTATTTTGTAACGAGTAACCAGTCTAAAAACTAAAGCCTGCCATTAAAGATCTGTTGTTGTTAATATTTTTGTTTATGGAATAATGGTGTGATCCCATTTCATGCGGTGTACAGTGTGTGAGATACCAAAACTCATGGGAAATATAAATAGTAATAAAAAAAATGAGCAGAATCCCCTGGGACTTTTCGTTAGAACAATCGTTAGCTGTAGAATATATCCAATAATAATTGCATATTGGTTTTCCTTGTGAAATATGAACAGGATGAGACTGGATGATAATGTGCAGTCCACTTGTCCTAGATGCAGCGTAACGGTCCATTGACTCAGGTTGATTGTTAGCTGGTATTAACAGATTCCCAGATGTGACCACGCAGCTGCTGAATCTGTGCCCCAGAGCAATAAAAGAACAAGTCGGAACATATGAGAGGACCATGTGAATTTCGCCCGTCTTCCTTTCAGCACATAGTTCCCGTGCATTGATTAACTCTGCTGCGAGCTAAAATATTGTTAATGATTGGCAAATGTAACCCAGAGGAAACAACACAACTTCAAGGGCATTTCACAGGCTGAACGCGTGGCAAAAAAAAATGTGACAGGCTGGATAAGATCCACATACAGGAACGTGTAATTGAACTTGAGAATCCACCAATGGTGCTATTTTCACATGATAGTCTCCTGGGAAAAGTGACTGGCTCTTATCACCTTTTCATTCTTTGCCTAGATTATTTGAGGCATTGGATCAAGAATGATCTTTATGCAATCTTTTTGAACAATTGAAAGAGATCCAATGGTGTTTGTTGTCTGTGTTTAATGAAATCGTTGCTAATATATATTTATATTGAACATGTATATTTTGAGAAACGCATCGTGAAGATTTTTGCCATCATAATGAAAATATTCAAACTGACCCAAGAGGATCACTTAAATGGAGTTTTTCGTAGCAGTGGTATTTAGAACAATGACACAGGTCAAGGTTTTCCTTTGATTTTTAAATGAAAAAGAAAAAATGAAAGTACAGCTTTGAACTGACCATTTACTGTAAGCTCTCAGATTCGATTATATCGTTTTTTAATATAGACTGCTGTGATGTAAATCTTAGACTTCCCAGATATAGCCTCTTCGTGTGAGTGTTGTGTAAAAGGTTCATCACAATTTTTACTCCCTTTTTTGTGGAGTTTTGTATTTATCAAAGCACCTTGACTCTGCTAATGTGCAGCTATATAGCTCCTGGTGACTGAGAAGACAAAGTGGCATGCGATATGTTCTTTATGACATCACTAGAATCTGAGGGCTGACTGCTCACTTGTTATTTATAATGTCTAATTAGAAAATCATCATTTATAATTACACCCGACACATATTGACTGGCACCTAATGTGCTAATAAAATTGTCCTTAGGGGTTGTCATCAGGATAATTTCACATGAATAATTGCATCAAGATGTTTGTGACATTGTTCAATAATCTTAATGATTTTTGCCCGTCTGCCTTACGAGTCTGTAAGGCTTTTGGTTTCCAGCTACAGTTGGAAGGAAAAACACCCAACCTGTTGTAAAACTGTCCCTGTGAAGACTCTGCCCTGATCACCTAGTGGAAAGGGCAGACTGAACACAATTTATCAAACAGCGATTAAAACAAAAAAGCTGGATGAGTTTTAAGCGTGTGATGGCAAAAGAAGGACAGAACTGGTGGCCTTCCTGGATCTGTGGTACTTTTTAATTCAGTCTGCTTTAATTAAGTAGTAGAAATGCTGATGATTACAGTAATAAGGGCAAGAGCTATTTAACAATGTAGGAAAATGTGAATGTCACAACATCTTATTGTTTCATTAATTCCCAGTTTAAAATACTGGATGGGGGTTTGGAGAAAGATTTATTAAAATACCAACATCTCTTGGTGTTATTGAAAAATCATTCCAAGCTTTTTTTGGTTTTAGAAAGTATTGTTATCAGAAGGAAAACTCTTCTTTTGTGCCTTGTATTTAGTCCTCATTTCCCTGGAGGGAGGGCATGTACAGTGCTTAGCAAATGGCTCCCCATCCTTTTATTCAGGAAGTATATTTCAATCTAAATGAGCTCTTATCTCTCAAAACCACAAGCTTCTGATTTTTAGTGATATTTCCTATTGAAAGTGAATGACTGCTTTTTTTATTTTGGCAGCTACAATGCAGAGAATGTTCCCATTTAATTAAAATTCTCACAAGCCAATGGAGTTGTCTGTATGCTGCTTTTCCTGTTGAGACCAAATTGAATTACCAGACTCAAAGGATATTAACATAATGCTTGGGATGTAAGTTACATTAGCATAAAGCTTAATACAAATCAGACAGTGTTCTCTAAGCTGGTGATGAAAATGTGTGTTTGTTTCGGTGTCCATGAGTGCTTCTCTGTGTGTGTATTTGAGATGAATCTCCTAAACCCGATTAAGGAAGAAATAAAGAAAAAATGAAATATTACGTAAAAAAGGACAAAACTTTTTTTGGGGAAAAAAATACTTTTCTTTTGTACTTTGACATGTTCTATCATCTTTCAGTCATTTAAACAGACAGATATGAAACTAGGATTTTTTCCCCATTCATTTTATATTGATGCATAGACAGTATTTGTAAGCTTCGTTTTTCAGGGAAAATAGAAAGGAGTCTTTCAGGAAGTCACCAATTTGATGTGGTTGTTTTCAAAGAAATATTCAATGACACCAATAGATTGATCAGCAGTGGTGCTGTGGTACTGGTAGTCTCCTTCAGCTAATGCTCAACAAATCAAATTGGCCGTAACAAGGATACCCATTTCTTGGCTCTTTTGCAGCGTGAAGTACTGGCTCTTATGATGCCCAGCAGTCTCAGAGCAGATAGCCTGCAGAGTACAGAAAAGTACTTGCACAGTGACAAATTTCTCCTTGTTCTATCCATGACCCTCTTTTTTCTAGGCATATTATCAAGGGATGTTCCACTCAAGCTCGTGTCAAATACAGCTATTCCAATTTTACTTAGCTGCGTAGTCCACAATGACAACATGACAGAACTCAAATCAAACTTTAGTGAGGTTCTTTCTTCTGCCTATGATTGATAAATAAAAAACGAAAACTATTTTGCCTCACTCTATGGTTGTGTTGTTGTTTGTGTTCATCTAAGAGGAACATGATTACCACACTATACACTAGTTTTGCTTTATAAGAGCTTTTGATAGCATTTAGGTTTTGAGAAAAGGGATTTTTTGAAGTTATTTTTAAACATTCTCTAGATGTTTTTTGGAGCATGTGGAGGGTTCTGAATTAACAGCACTGTAAGCTGGGCCTCTGGCTGGTTCACAAGGTAATGCTATTTATACCACCACAGTGGATACCAATACCTGCTGGAGGCCAGTTTTCCCCGACATTGTATTAAAATGTATTCAGTCCAGGTCTCTGGAGGAGCACAGAATTAGAAGGACCGTAAATTAAACCACAGTTCCTACCCACCTGTCCTGGAATTTATTTCATTCAGCAAATCCCCTCTACATGGGCGTTCGATATTTTTAGACTGCAGGACTGGTGTTTACATAACCTGGCTGTGTTTCACCCTTGTTTCAGCATCATTTCAGTTCCTACGTAACATGAAAAATATATTATTGTCTCCCATGGGTGTACCTGAATTCTTTTGTACTTTGATAGCGTGGTTTTGTGAAAGTTTGCTTCTGGCACAGCGGTGAAAGTGAAGGGTGAGGCAAGGGACCAGCCCACTGAGGTTTCCATTAGCAGCAGGGCTGTTCGGCGTGCATTCCTGCAGAATGACAACGGCTGCTGTTTGTCTCTCAGGTTCACCTATGAGATTGCCCCTGTGTTTGTGCTCATGGAGCAGCTGACCCTGAAGAAAATGAGGGAAATGATTGGCTGGCCGGGTGGAGAAGGAGATGGGATATTTTCACCGGGTGAGTAGGCTCCCTGTTCAGTAAACTAGGACACTGTCTTGGGTCTGATACTGACTTATGGGTAATTTGAAGCAGTAGAAAACCAGAGGCTGTTAATTAACAACACAGTGCAGGGAGACAAAGAGGGCAGAGGCACATCTTTCACATTGTTCGAATTTTTACATTTCTTTTCATGAATTCCAGTCCGATGGTCAGATGTACCGAATGTATATATTGGCAGAATTTGTTTTTCTGGGAAAAAATCATTCTCAGTCATTTCAGACTTCAGAAATCTCTCTGTGATTTGCATGCTGTTATTTTTAGTGATCCCCTTGGTTAACAAACCAAGGCTCTCATATGGTTTTGTAGTCCCTTTCAGCTAAAACTAAACAAATGAAGCCAGAATTGATAAAAAAAGCTGCAGACCTACTGTAGCTATTCATTTAAACACAACTATATGTTTATAAAACATTAAATTTCTCCCCACCTCTAACATTTTCTGAATCTGACACTGCCATTGAAAACAAACTAGGCAGTTAAATGTAAGTAATGATATATAAAAAAATAATGAAGGAAGTGACAAGACGTTTGAAGTTAATTACTTTACAATTTCAGTTCAAATTATTTTCTGTTGAACAATGTCGAATATCTATGCCTTTTTATTGACAACAAAACAAGATTAATGTACAGTATGTTATTACAATACATTTTGAAAACAGTTGTGAATATTTAAAAGTTCTAGTAAACAGTTTCCAATAATGAAGTGTGTGCTTTAGTTTACTTGAAACACACATTGAAGTCCCCTTAGGGTTGTCATTTATATTTCAATTTAAAGCACCGCCAGAGAAATCAGAGTGGAAAGAGATTTGAAGAGGTCTCTGACAGCTACTTTGTACTGGAACAGATACAATCTCAAGTAATTCATGTTTGTTTTACACTGTTCATTTCCTGTGAAATAAAAAAGGCATCTGTTTTGTAATATCCTAAGGGACAAACCTAAGAAACCAAAAGAATATTGACAGAAGATATCTTATGGACTGCTGTTGAAATTTGCTGTTTTTTTGAAAGGTTTTGCTTTATACATTCCCAAACAGGAGGCGCCATTTCTAATATGTACAGCGTGATGGCAGCTCGTTATAAGTATTTTCCCGAAGTCAAAACCAAAGGAATGGCTGCAGTTCCCAAATTAATCCTCTTTACGTCGGAACATGTACGTCCCTTCTCTTTTAAAATCAGTATAATTAGGAATGCAGACTCCTTAAACCCTCTGTAGTGTAACTACACAAAGAAACACAAAACCTTCCTGGTTCTGAAACTATTCCAGCATCTTTAAATCCATTCTCTCTGTCATAATGGGACTTACTCCTACTATTTGTTTACCAAGAAAATCTCAATGACACCATACATTCTCAGTATTCTTTTTTTTAGCTAAGCTTGTCCAGATGAATCCAACTTGCAAAACTGAAACTAAAATGTTTGAGAATTCTACCACAGCTTTGTAAATGTTTTTGAAAAACACTGTGAGATTTAGCAGTATGGATCAATTGGCCTTATGAAAAGATGTTGAAGGGGTATTAAAATGATATTGGCTCTGTATCACAAATCTAAGTGTTAATTTGCTTTTAAAGTCTTGAAGCAATAAAGGGTTTGTACATAAATAATTGTATTATCATGACTTAGCACCTACAGTGTAAGCTCCTTCCACACATATTGTACCTGAAAATGATAAACCAGCTAAAATGCATTTTTTATTAGAATTCAAGATTTGCTTGTTTCTTTCTCCTATCCTTTACGGCAGAGTCATTACTCAATAAAGAAAGCTGGTGCTGCTCTTGGCTTTGGAACAGAAAACGTCATTTTGCTCAAATGCGATGAAAGGTATGGGTTAATGAAACCGTTATCCTTTGCTTTGTTTTCACACCCCCTAAATGTTTAATAAACGTTTTCTCATTTACTTGTGGGTTTGCATTTTATTTTAGAGGAAGAGTTATTCCGGCTGATCTAGAAGCAAAGATCATTGATGCCAAACAAAAGGTGGGAGATCTTAAAAATTTACACTTCAGCCCTGGTGCTTACCTGTGGGACGGCCCACTGAGTACTGCACTCATAACTAATGACCTAAAAAGCTGCGTTATGGACTAATATGGATCTCTTGTTTCTCCCCAGGGGCATGTTCCCCTGTTCGTGAATGCCACAGCTGGCACCACAGTGTATGGAGCGTTTGATCCTATCCATGAGATTGCGGACATTTGTGAAAAGTACAACCTGTGGCTGCATGTAGATGTAAGCACATTTTTATCGACCAATGGAGTCTTCTTTTCTTTTAGCAAATGAGCTTGCAGATCACCTGCATCTAAACGAAAGTCACCAGTCATTAAACAGTTCACTGAGCACCCCATTAGTCGAAACTGTGTTACATACAGAGCAAGGACAGAGTGCAGCTGCACATTCAGCGAGCAGCTGTTTTTTGCGTGAACCTCCATTGCTTTCTCCATCCACCCAAACCTTCACATACAAGCGAGTTGTCAGGAGCTGCCATAGTAGTGTTACATCCCCATCAGATCCCATTAATATTGCGAGCAGCAGATGAGATTCCAACAGAAAGATAAGATCACTTTATTGGCCATATACAATTTCTTGTATTAGGAATTTGTCTTTTTTGCTGACCCCAGCTTGCTCTCCATGAGACACACAGGCACACAAGCAGGGAGAGAGAAGCTTGGGGTCAGAGCACAGTGTCAGCTATTTATATGGCGCCCCTGGTGCAGTTGGGGTTAAGGGCCTTGCTCAGGGGCCCAATGGAGTAGGATTCCTTCAGTACTCCTACTGCCAGCTGTGGGATATGAACCAGCAACCTTCCAAGCCACAGGCTCAGATCCTTAGCCACAGAGCCACTGCACTGCCCCATAGAGAAACTCTTCAGCATCTCAGAAAGCATCCTTATTCTTATAGCATCTTAGATGTTGGGATGTATTCTCGTATGATCCTGTTTTGTTAAGTGTCGAAATCTGAAACTGCCCTGGGGCCATTGCTCCTAATCTGGCTGGAGGGAGTTTTAAACACGTACCTGTTGTTGTACGTGACACCTGAGAAATAGCTGGAAGGCAGGATAACATCATCAAGAATAGCCAGTGGACTATAAAACCCTCTGTAACATTGTTGCAGTTTGGGCCACCGTAGGAAGTACACCTTGTGTGTGTCTCCTTCAGTGTGCTCTGGAAGTGGCCATTTGAGTTACAATTAAACTCATGTCATACTGTACCTTCACTGAACTGCACTGTGACTCCTTGCATCCCTTTAAAAGTATATTACTTTTTTTTATCAGGGTGCCTGGGGAGGAGGACTGTTAATGTCCAGAAAGCACCGTCATAAGTTAAGTGGCATTGAAAGGTAACCACCTTGTTCACTTTTTATGAGAACAATAAAAAAAATCAGTGAGTCAGGCCTGTTTTTGCAACCAAGTTATTGTTGTTGTTGTTGTAGGGCCAACTCAGTGACCTGGAATCCACACAAGATGATGGGGGTGTTGCTCCAGTGTTCTGCCATCCTGGTCAGAGAAAAGGTGAGCAGTGCCAACATATATAAGCTCCCAGCTCTGGTGTTTGTTGAGGAAATTGATTTACTTATGTTCTGCATCAACTAAAAATAAATAGTTCTGCTATGCTGTGTAATATCTATTAGATATTTAAAGTCTTGCACCCATATGAATGTGGGTTTCTCCTTTTTCATAACATTATTCTGTATATCACATATTGTGAATAATAAATGAGATTTTTAATAGCCAACAGTCAATTCTGCAACTACCTCAAAGTAGTTTTCATTTTCTAGTTAGCATTTTCATTCCTAAATGAATCATTTGATTCTGACAGAACTGACATTTAGTCACATCTGTGTAACGTGAGTTATGGAGGATGTCTTTGACTCCTAACTGTGTGGACCTACAGGACCTGGTCTTGGGTTTAAGTGCTTCCATTTCTTTTCAGGGTATTCTCCAGGGCTGTAATCAGATGTGTGCTGGGTACCTCTTCCAGCAGGACAAACAATATGATGTCACATATGACACGGGTGACAAAGCAATACAGTGCGGCCGTCATGTGGACATCTTTAAATTCTGGCTGATGTGGAAAGCAAAGGTAGGAATATGTGAAGTGTGTTCATCATATAAATAACCTTTACTACATAAAACACAAATCATCACACAGATCGTAAAACAAACAAACAGATGCAATTGAATTGTATAAAAAGTATTGCTTTCATGTGGCAGCATACATATCAGAATGCTACTGGAGAAAGCATGTAAAACATTGAACTGAATGTGTTTGTATTGCTATACTGATAAAAGGCTCAATTATTAATCTCCAAGATTCAAATATGCTGTTGTTATAGCCACACCAGTGCTAGGTTTTGCGTGCCGTTCAATGGTATAAAATATATTGCTTTGCTTAAGTTGTAAAAAAAAATGCCTGCTATATTTTAATGTTGTGTTCTGTTCTCTCTATTCAAAGGGAACGGTAGGGTTTGAACAACAGATTAACAAGTGCTTGGAGCTCTCAGAGTATCTCTACACAAAAATAAAGAACCGCGAAGGATATGAAATGGTTTTCGATGGAGAGGTAAGATCTGATTTTTACTGCCCGTTTTTTTTATTCTTCTTCGGCTTCTAAAGATAACCAACGTGACCAATGGATTATCTCCATAAAACATATGAGCAGAAAATATCTAATGAATATAAAGTAGATTCCATTATCTTTCCCACCCAGCACAGTGTATCATTAATACTGGCATTGGTTAGCTTAATGTAGTGGCAAGCAAATATAAAGCCTTTTGGCTCTGTTTCTACTCATCACATCCCAGCCCTGTATCTGTTGGAAGCTAGGGTACAGTGCAAGGACTATGAAAGGGCTTCAGCTGGGTTCACTGCCTGAGAAAAAAGGAATTCTCCAAATCCCTGATTGTGGTACCAGCTACCTCCCAATGACAAATTTCCTAAAGAACTAAAAATTAGGAAGAACGTGTGGCTCGCTTAAAGACACTTGACCTCTTTCTTACATACATTGAGTATCTCAACAGAGTAGTCATTAACGTTTGAAATCCTCTCCCATTTGACTGGTAGAAATAAGAGCACAGAGGGTGTTATCATGGAACAATCTTCACAATCTGACACTTCTTATTGAGATTAGATTTATTTAGCTTCTTTTAATACCGGTGATGATAAGGAGACGTGGAGAGTTACCTGAAGAAGAAATTCTTAGATATAAACACTTCATATCTTGTTTTGAGAAATGAGCCGTTTAATGTATTGCAATAGAAAACCAAAAGTGTCTCCATGTTTTGGTCTGTTTGTTTAAATATTTTCCACTTTTTTCACGTTTTGTAGCCTCAGCACACAAATGTTTGCTTCTGGTACATTCCTCCAAGCCTACGGGTCATGCCAGACTGCGAGGAGAGACGAGAAAGGTTACACAAGGTACGACACCAGACGTTTGTACTTTGCATGAGCGCCGAGCGTGTTCTTCCATCATCTCCTTTGAACGTTTAAGTGTAAACAAACTTCAAAATACAGCCACTGCAGAAAGCCTGCTCTTACAGTTTAGCGGCATTTATATTATCGCTCTTGCTATTACAGGTGGCACCCAAAATCAAAGCAAGGATGATGGAGTCAGGGACAACCATGGTGGGTTACCAGCCGCAGGGAGACAAAGTCAATTTCTTCCGAATGGTTATCTCCAATCCTGCAGCTACAAAGTCGGACATCGACTTTCTGATCGATGAGATAGAGCGACTGGGGCAGGACTTGTAAGAGGACACAGTCTCTCCAGAAAAGTGTTCTGGCGGAGGCCTTGCTTTTTGTTAACCAGCTTTGACGTGGCCAGCTCTAAAAGGACTTAGAGTGAGGTTTCATGATCCTGTCGTATGTAAAGCAATTCCGTAGGATGTGAAACTTGCCTGTATGTCTTTTTAGGTACGGACGAACTGTAATCGTAATATCCAGAAGTGTTTCTGTCAATATGTATTCACGTTTGTTCCGTAACAGTGACTATTCTGTAGAAGAATTAACTGCTGTATTTAAGAATTCTTTAAGGTTTAAAACTATCCGTCCTGTACTTGACTTGAGTAATCTCCGGCATGTGTGCAACACCGAGTGAGTGGTAAGAGGCCCTGAGCTGTTAAGTGCTGTGGACAGTGTCTGCTGTGAATCATCCCCAGAGGTGAGTTGTAAATGACTCATCAAAACTTCCTTAAATGAGCAACATTATTTGTCATTAACTGTTCTCTAAGAAATATGGGTGCTTTTGTTATAATTGTAATTACACAACCAAATGCACCACATTATATTCTAGCTGTTTGTCCCCTTTGGTGTCAGCGAGGGGGTCACTGTAACACAGTCATTGTAAGAGGTAAACTATTGCTGTGTTTTTAGAGATAATTAATTTTGTGTAGATTGTGTACATTATTGTTAAATGCCTTTGTGGAAAAAAAGATAAATGTAATAGTTTTACAGTAAGAGACGTTTAAATAATGATGATATATAGCTATATGCTGAAATCTTTGCTTATTTATAATAAGAAATGACCAGTGTTGAAAAGTTGTCTAGTATTTTCTCCCATTTGTAATGTATCTTTATTTGTATTATATGACAATATATGATCAAAATGAGTTTTAAATGATGTTTAAGGTATTTTAGTGTATTTGTGAGCCAAAGAAAATTATAACTAGTGACATTTGCAAATATATATATTATTCTTCTGCCCTTAAAATATATAACAAATATGTGGATTATATTAGTGTCTACTTATTAAATTATTTTAAGATATTGTAACAAGAGATGTGCTGAAAACACTTTTAACATTAGTGCAATCTGTATTTTGTGTGGCTGTGATAACCCATTGTTTATCACAAAGTATGAATGTTATTTAATCACCAAACAGTGGAGCTACAACTGAGACTAGACCAGAGATCTGTTGCAGTTAGGAGGCTACCTGTGCAAATAAACTTTACTTAGTAAGAAGCACAAACTGAAGGGAAGAAGGATGACCTTTTCACCCAAAAGTGAAGATTGTGTATATGTCTTTGAAATTGATTTTTAAGAAAAAATGCTTTACTATTTTAAATACTTAAATTTATTAAATGTGGAAGATTCCAACCTGCTCAGACAGGAACTTATAATCATACCATGTACAAAGCACTACTGTCATATTTACAGTAATAATAAAATATATTTAAAACTCTTTATTTTTAGCCTTTTTAATCTGCTTTGATTTAAGTAGGGAAGGAGTCTGACAACACTGTTTTATTTAATTGTCTTTTAAGGTTTTGGTGCATTGTTCAATTATCTGAATTGGAAGTGCAAATAATACATTTATCATTTGACCAGGTCAGACATTAGTTTCTACCAAGGATGCTGGATTTACTCAAAACAGATACAGAATGAAAAACTACATTTATACAGTAGTTGCAAAGGCTAATCTATTCTCTAAATATTAAAGATATTGTTTTACATTAATAGTTGTCCATCCATTCAGAAATACACAGTTATCGTTGCATACATTAAAGGCATTCTTTAGGCTAAATTCATGATAGAGATATTTTGCATGACCCACCTGAAATTTACTGTCATTTTAACTTCCACAGTTTCAGAATCGAATCTGTGTTTTAATTAATTTTACAATGAGAACTTGTTGCAGGTTTCTAAGTGTTACAATAATGTCTGATGAGATAATATAAAATAAATCATAGCTTTCAAAAGGTTATTGAACTCAAATTCATCGTGGTGAGTAGCATTGAAGACTTAAGGTCTATTAGTTGAGCTAAGAGAAGGGGTGGCAATGGTTACTGTATATCTACAACTCCATAAGAATCTAAATAAATGAGCAAATAAAGCATCTCAGATGAAGAATGACTTTGCTGCTTATGTTTTAACAAAAGTTTTCATTTAATTACAAATAACTTTAACCATCACAACTTAGAGCCTTTTTGAAGATAGAGTTGATGACATACTGATTTTGTTCATATGAGTGTTTATCATATCTTTTGGCTTTGCAAAGTGTGAAGAGCTATCTTTTGTTAGCTTTCTGAACAAACGTACTCAGAGAGTTTCTTTGACAAAGTTAATGTGTTTAGTGCTCTCATAACTGTTAGTCATTCACATCTTAAGATCTTTGGAAACCGGAAGAGAACAAATGAAAAAACATGAGTCATTTTCCAATCATACATGTATAGAGTACAATACTTAACAAATATCAGTTTTCAGTGGAAAAACATTTTCAATAAATCAAATGAACATGGGATCCCTTCAACACTCTTTGTCTTTGTGTGTATGAGATTATCTTTGCTATATGATGTCTCTTATATGACAGCTTTAACAAAATTAACTCATTTTAACAGTCCTAAAATAATGAAAACCCACCTGGGTTTGTTGCTTAACTGATTTTATTTGAATTTGTTCTTGGGTGTGTTCATCTTAATACAATTAGAACATGTTTGTAGTAGTCAAATAGAAAGTCTATAATAAAGATTAATTTGTGTGCAGTATATATTTACTAATATATATGACTTTCATCTGCAAAATATAAAGATTGATGACCCTCCCAAAATAGACAAGACACCCATTTCTTCACTGATGACCTTTCATTAAATCTCACTTGAAGCAGACAGAGAAGTTTTCGGTCACAGACTCGGTTTGTTTAATGAAAAGGGACTGTGAGACAGATTGCACTTTAAAGACTTGGTCGGCCAAGGATAGCGGTACTACTGCAGGGGTACCTTACAGCACTGTCTCTAGAAGACAAAGAAATGTCACTGCCTAGAGCCTCTGGAGCAAGAGCTTCAAATGAGACGCATGACTGTTCGAAAGAAACATCTTGAAGACTTCAGAGAAAAAATTAATACGACAGAACTGGGTGGCTTTCTGGAACCTTTAGGCGGCTGCTGTAATAATTAATTTCAGGACGTGAAAGTGGTGTGTGAACAATACACAAGAGGAGCTGTCGTCATTCAGCTTGACAAAGGCCCCCAGTGTGTGAATGACTTTCCTAAAGCGTGGCTCAAACATTTTGCGAGTACATGATTTGGGCTGTCTGTAAAACCAGTCCATGCCAGCCAGACATTTGGGCAAAGGCAACATTCTGCAAAGTGTTGTGTTTTTTTGCTTTTGCCAGGCCATGGAAAGATGGCAATGGAGCATCTTTGGAGTGCAAGATAGGTGGGGCCTGCTACTACATCTGCTGCATTACTCTGTTGGCAAGACTGCAACTTCTGTGGCGTTCTTGATTTTGACAGCTACATTCCTGTAATTCATCACATTCATGACTGCGCAAACCAACATAGATATACTGTCAGGTTCATCATCCTTCATAGGACATGCATTTTTTGCCCTTTGCTGTGTTAATCCAAATTCAAATGTAACTCAGTATAAGCATGGGCTGAAAGTTTTTTGTGCTTCTATGCTTAAATATAGAATGACTGTAAACCAACAGTAGATATAAGTCTTACTGTGAAATCATTGTGAATATATTCTGGTCAATATTTAAAGATTAGGCAAAAACCTGTCTGCATGTTTCTGTTTCACATCAAGAATAGAATACATTTTGTAAAACTGTGTCTTTTCTGCATTTCTCAAATGTGGTCAATGACAGTGACTTGTACTTCATGTATACAAAAGACATTACATATGCTCCTTTATACTAATTAATTTTCACAAACAGGAATGTGAAGATGTTAATGAAAATGATAATAATGCATATATATAGAAATATTTTACTATATTGGGGCAATATTATTTGCATTATTTCCAATATTGCCTCAATTTATTTTGCAATGTTATCGTTTACTGTATAAGCGGTGCTAATAGGCTTCCTAGAATCTATACACTCAGATCCCTTACATGCCCTATATATAAACACTTACAATCCGAAACATTTGATCTACAGTCTATTTTCCAACTTTATTTACAATATCATGGGTCTTAGTACATTTCTTTTAAATCTTCATCTTTCCTTTCCCTCAACTCATTTTTAAATTCATGCCTTTTCTATTTTCCTTGAGCAAATTCAAATACTCCCCCAGCTCTGTTGTGCTTCTTTTCACACCACAAAATAGGAGCTAAACATTTTTGTGCACCCCAATAAACTATTAAGACACCTCCGTCACCAACTAGTTTCCTGTCACACTGTCTGTAAAAGCACTGACTGCAGTCATATTGATCTTAATTTCTCTCTCGTCTTCCTCCTCTCAGTAAACATGATGTGGATGATTAGAAAGGAAATGGGCATCATGTAGTTCCCAAACACCTTAGACATCTGCTTTCTTTTTAGCAACATCAAAACAAACATCCCTTCTCTGCCTTATTAATACAGGTATTACCTGAGTTGAACAAATGGCCCTTGTTTGAGGTAGCATGTTAACTGAGAACACAATTACTTACTTGAAACAAGTTAATGGTGATAATATTGTCTAAGCTAAATTGAATTTATGCATAATTATGGAGCTAATTTGGAAGCAGGTGTTTCAGCCCATGAAAATAATTGAAAGTTAATGAAAATGAAGAAGCCAGATTGTACTTCTATACCCTGAACCAGCTTTGATAGTAGTGATTTAAATGGGTTATTCACATCTCACATGTTACTGAAGATCCAGTAAAGCAGTTAAAACGAATGATTACATATTTCTCTACTTACATTGATAAAGATATTAATTTTATTCATAAAGATGCCATATCAATTGCTACTCAATGGCACTTGACATCTTTTCACGTTCTTGTGTGTTTGCCACAGAGATACAATTTAGATGTGGTTTTGTCTCAATGTTTTATTTACAACTTAATGCCCTTTTAAATGTCTCATCATAACAGGTCTTTTATTTTGGTTGTTTTAAAAATATTTTGTAGCTTTCACTAAGCGTTTATTGGGAAAGAATCTATTTAGATGACATTCACCTTTTCCTACAAAATGTGCATGTAATACGAACATTTTCCTATATATATGCAGTTGGCAGCTTTTTTTCTCACTCATTGCTGAAGACACAATTCCTCCCTTCATAAGATGGGCCTTATAAAACAGTCCCAGACATAAAACATAAAATTCAACTTAATTGTTTTTCACTGTGCTTCATCACTTCAACTAACAATCATTTGTCCCATCAATTTTAATTACAAGGATTGTTAAACATTAAATTGAAAATACATTTGTTTCCATTTTCCCCTCAACACCTGTCATTTTGTGCTGGATGATACTGTACAAAGTGAAAAAATGAGTTAATATTTTTGTTTGTTTTTTTCAAATAAAAACAACAGTGGCTCTACATATTATAGGATACACTATGGGTACCCTAAAGCTTGAAACTCACAAACCAGTGAAACCAGTCTGAAATCTTTCTTCAGTTGGTACTAAAGCTTTAATACCACCAATATCCCCTGATATAAAATTCTTGATAGAATCTGCGATACAAATTACTATTATTTTAAGCAGCAAATGCTTTTCCTGGCTTGACATAAAAAAGTAAACCGAAGTACATCAAGAACAACCTTTGCTATATCATTTTTATAACATTCCCCTCAAAATAGTCTTCTAATGCCACAATCTGCTGCAGATTAAGGGTTGTCATGACCCACTAATACAGAAGCAAGTCTAGTGTTGAAGTAAGGCCGGGCTATCTAGGCACATAAGACACTCTAAGAACCTGCTCCACAGGGAGGTCATGCTGGCTGAATCCATTAAAACTAGATTATAAAATACCAGCCTACAAGAAAGAGACATAATTGAAATTTAAACATTTTGAATTTCTCGTACCAGGAGAGGTGTGTGCAGAATTTCAATTGGCCGTCCAGGAGACTATAGAGCATTCTGGAACTGAGCCATGGAGCTGAGCTTTTGACCCATCATCTTCCAGGTACTTCGATATGACATGACTTTTTTCTGAGCACTTTGTCTCTATCCCTACCTTCACTTCTTGGGGCCTTCTATTGTTTTTTCCAGGATAGTTGTGTACGCCTGATTGTGTGCATCTTTAAGTTTTACACAGATGGAGGTCATCCTGAATCCCCTCAGTGCTTTGGTACTGATATTCATTAATTACCTCATTGCTTTCCTGATGGGTTAAATCTATCCTCTGCCACTGCAAATCACTGCTGAATTAGCCTGATAAATATTGACAATCACTTTGTGTATCACCCGTTTAATGAAATGTGAAGAAGATATCGACACACAGGACTCTTCTTCAACTCTGTTGCAGAGAGA